CAGCGTCACTTCCGGCTTTTTTCTTTTTGCTTATGTGGTGCTGAGGAATGGAACCCAGGGCCTCAGGCATGCAAGGCAAGCACTCTACCACTGAGCCATCTTCCCAGCCCGGAAGAGTTTTATGCAATTCTCTCCTTCCCCAAGTCATCCCACTCCCCCCAGAAGTGATTGATAACACTCCCGCCACACACACCCCCATACCCTCCTCCACATCCCCCTTTCAAGATACAACCCCACCTCCAACCTTGCAGGCTTTTGGGGTGGGGGGGGCAGAATACCTTACAGAAGGTAGAAGGCAGAAGGTGAGGAGGTGGTGGGGGCAGAGCAGGGGGAGGAGGTGTGGGGGGCAGAGCAGGGGGGAGGAGGTGTGGGGGGGCAGAGCAGGGGGGAGGAGGTATGGGGGCAGAGCAGGGGGGAGGAGGTGTGGGGGGCAGAACGGGGGGAGGAGGTGTGGGGGGGCAGAACGGGGGGAGGAGGTGTGGGGGGGCAGAGCAGGGGGGAGGAGGTGTGGGGGCAGAGCAGGGGGGAGGAGGTGTGGGGAGGGCAGAGCAGGGGGAGGAGGTGTGGGGGGGCAGAACGGGGGGAGGAGGTGTGGGGGGGCAGAGCAGGGGGAGGAGGTGGGGGGGGCAGAGCAGGGGGGAGGAGGTGTGGGGGGGGCAGAGCAGGGGGGAGGAGGTATGGGGGGCAGAGCAGGGGGGAGGAGGTGTGGGGGGCAGAACGGGGGGAGGAGGTGTGGGGGGGCAGAACGGGGGGAGGAGGTGTGGGGGGGCAGAGCAGGGGGGAGGAGGTGTGGGGGCAGAGCAGGGGGGAGGAGGTGTGGGGAGGGCAGAGCAGGGGGAGGAGGTGTGGGGGGGCAGAACGGGGGGAGGAGGTGTGGGGGGGCAGAGCGGGGGGAGGAGGTGGGGGGGGCAGAGCAGGGGGAGGAGGTGTGGGGGCAGAGCAGGGGGGAGGAGGTGTGGGGAGGGCAGAGCAGGGGGGAGGAGGTGGGGGGCAGAGCAGGGGGAGGAGGTGGGGGGCAGAGCAGGGGGAGGAGGTGTGGGGGCAGAGCAGGGGGGAGGAGGTGTGGGGAGGGCAGAGCAGGGGGAGGAGGTGTGGGGGCAGAGCAGGGGGAGGAGGTGTGGGGGCAGAGCAGGGGGAGGAGGTGTGGGGGCAGAGCAGGGGGGAGGAGGTGTGGGGGGGCAGAGCAGGGGGAGGAGGTGTGGGGGCAGAGCAGGGGGGAGGAGGTGGGGGGGCAGAGCAGGGGGGAGGAAGTGTGGGGGCAGAGCAGGGGGGAGGAGGTGGGGGGGCAGAGCAGGGGGAGGAGGTGTGGGGAGGGCAGAGCAGGGGGAGGAGGTGTGGGGGCAGAGCCGGGGGGAGGAGGTGTGGGGAGGGCAGAGCAGGGGGGAGGAGGTGGGGGGGGCAGAGCAGGGGGGAGGAGGTGTGGGGGGGCAGAGCAGGGGGGAGGAGGTCGGGGGCAGAGCAGGGGGAGGAGGTGTGGGGGGCAGAGCAGGGGGAGGAGGTGTGGGGGGCAGAGCAGGGGGGAGGAGGTGGGGGGGCAGAGCAGGGGGAGGAGGTGTGGGGGCAGAGCAGGGGGAGGAGGTGTGGGGAGGGCAGAGCAGGGGGGAGGAGGTGTGGGGGGCAGAGCAGGGGGAGGAGGTGTGGGGGGGCAGAGCAGGGGGAGGAGGTGTGGGGGCAGAGCAGGGGGGAGGAGGTGTGGGGGCAGAGCAGGGGGGAGGAGGTGGGGGGCAGAGCAGGGGGAGGAGGTGGGGGGGCAGAGCAGGGGGGAGGAGGTAGGGGGCAGAGCAGGGGGGAGGAGGTGGGGGGGCAGAGCAGGGGGAGGAGGTGGGGGGGCAGAGCAGGGGGGAGGAGGTGTGGGGAGGGCAGAGCAGGGGGGAGGAGGTGTGGGGGGGCAGAGCAGGGGGAGGAGGTGGGGGGGCAGAGCAGGGGGGAGGAGGTGGGGGGCAGAGCAGGGGGGAGGAGGTGGGGGCGCAGAGCAGGGGGAGGAGGTGGGGCGGCAGAGCAGGGGGGAGGAGGTGTGGGGAGGGCAGAGCAGGGGGGAGGAGGTGGGGGGCAGAGCAGGGGGAGGAGGTGTGGGGGGCAGAGCAGGGGGGAGGAGGTGGGGGGCAGAGCAGGGGGAGGAGGTGTGGGGGGGCAGAGCAGGGGGGAGGAGGTGGGGGGCAGAGCAGGGGGGAGGAGGTGTGGGGGGGCAGAGCAGGGGGAGGAGGTGTGGGGAGGGCAGAGCAGGGGGAGGAGGTGTGGGGGCAGAGCAGGGGGGAGGAGGTGGGGGGGCAGAGCAGGGGGGAGGAGGTGGGGGGGCAGAGCAGGGGGGAGGAGGTGGGGGGCAGAGCAGGGGGGAGGAGGTGTGGGGGGGCAGAGCAGGGGGAGGAGGTGTGGGGAGGGCAGAGCAGGGGGAGGAGGTGTGGGGGGGCAGAGCAGGGGGGAGGAGGTGTGGGGGGGCAGAGCAGGGGGGAGGAGGTGTGGGGGGGCAGAGCAGGGGGGAGGAGGTGTGGGGGGGCAGAGCAGGGGGAGGAGGTGTGGGGGGGCAGAGCAGGGGGGAGGAGGTGGGGGGGCAGAGCAGGGGGGAGGAGGTGGGGGGGCAGAGCAGGGGGGAGGAGGTGGGGGGCAGAGCAGGGGGGAGGAGGTGTGGGGGCAGAGCAGGGGGAGGAGGTGGGGGGGCAGAGCAGGGGGGAGGAGGTGTGGGGGGGCAGAGCAGGGGGAGGAGGTGTGGGGAGGGCAGAGCAGGGGGGAGGAGGTGTGGGGAGGGCAGAGCAGGGGGGAGGAGGTGGGGGGGGCAGAGCAGGGGGGAGGAGGTGTGGGGGGCAGAGCAGGGGGAGGAGGTGTGGGGAGGGCAGAGCAGGGGGAGGAGGTGTGGGGAGGGCAGAGCAGGGGGGAGGAGGTGGGGGGGCAGAGCAGGGGGAGGAGGTGGGGGGGGCAGAGCAGGGGGGAGGAGGTGGGGGGCAGAGCAGGGGGGAGGAGGTGTGGGGGGGCAGAGCAGGGGGAGGAGGTGTGGGGAGGGCAGAGCAGGGGGAGGAGGTGTGGGGGGGCAGAGCAGGGGGGAGGAGGTGTGGGGGGGCAGAGCAGGGGGGAGGAGGTGTGGGGAGGGCAGAGCAGGGGGGAGGAGGTGTGGGGGGGCAGAGCAGGGGGGAGGAGGTGTGGGGGGGCAGAGCAGGGGGGAGGAGGTGGGGGGCAGAGCAGGGGGGAGGAGGTGTGGGGAGGGCAGAGCAGGGGGAGGAGGTGTGGGGGGGCAGAGCAGGGGGGAGGAGGTGTGGGGGGGCAGAGCAGGGGGGAGGAGGTGGGGGGCAGAGCAGGGGGGAGGAGGTGTGGGGAGGGCAGAGCAGGGGGAGGAGGTGTGGGGGGGCAGAGCAGGGGGAGGAGGTGTGGGGGGCAGAGCATGGGGAGGAGGTGTGGGGGGGCAGAGCAGGGGGGAGGAGGTGTGGGGGGCAGAGCAGGGGGGGAGGAGGTGTGGGGGGCAGAGCAGGGGGAGGAGGTGTGGGGGGGCAGAGCAGGGGGAGGAGGTGTGGGGGGGCAGAGCAGGGGGGAGGAGGTGTGGGGGGCAGAACGGGGGGAGGAGGTGTGGGGGGGGCAGAGCAGGGGAGGGAGGAGGTGTGGGGGGGCAGAGCAGGGGGGGAGGAGGTGGGGGCAGAGCAGGGGGAGGAGGTGTGGGGGCAGAGCAGGGGGGAGGAGGTGGGGGGCAGAGCAGGGGGGAGGAGGTGGGGGGCAGAGCAGGGGGGAGGAGGTGTGGGGGGGCAGAGCAGGGGGAGGAGGTGGGGGGGCAGAGCAGGGGGAGGAGGTGGGGGGGCAGAGCAGGGGGAGGAGGTGGGGGGGCAGAGCAGGGGGAGGAGGTGTGGGGGGGCAGAGCAGGGGGGAGGAGGTGTGGGGGGGCAGAGCAGGGGGGAGGAGGTGGGGGGCAGAGCAGGGGGAGGAGGTGGGGGGGCGTTCTGGGCCTGGTAGCTCCCTCGGTGGAGAGATGAGAGGGGGCGGGTGAGAGACAGAGAAGAGAGCTCGGGGAAAGAGGGGATGAGGAGAGCGATAAAAGAGGGGGTGCGACACCCCCGGGAAGCGCCCCCAGCGCGTTTACCTAGGAGCCGGGCGAGAGGAGCACTTCAGGGCCGCAGGTCCGGGGAAGGCTTCGGGGTCAGGGAAGGCCGCGGAGGGGGGGTGTCCCCGGGAAGTCACGGAGGGAGACCGTCCCCCCCCCGCCTCACCCCCGCCACCCAGGACCCCCGCGTCCGCCCCACTTCACCCCCGAGGCCCCCGGAGTTCATTGTTCCCGGAAGCCACCGGGGGCCCCCCGGGTGCGCGGTTTGACAGACAAGACGAGGGGCGGGACCAGGGGGGTGGGTGGGTGGAGGAAGTGGGAGCTCCGCCCCGCCCCCTGCGCTCCCTCCCACCCTCGGAACTCCCTCCACACACACCCCGGGAGGGCGGGGCGAGGCGGGGGGGGGGGCGGGGGGAGGAGGAGATTTCGCGTGGCGGCCGCAGGCCAACGAACGGAGAGCGACGTCGGCCTCCTCCCCTCCCCTCTCCGCGCACGGGTGCGTCTCCCTTTAAGAGGCCGGAAGTGGGTGGGCGTGGTGGGCGTGGCTTGCGCGCGGCTCTGGCCGCCCCGCCCCTTTCTCGAGGCTGGGGAGGGGCGGGGGGGGGGGGAAGTGTGAGAGTGTGTGAGTGTGAGCGCGCGCGAGCGGCTGGCGGGCGCCGGAGGGAGGGAAAGCCTGAGAGAGAGAGAGCGAGAGAGACAGGGAAGGAAGAGGGAGGGCAGAAGAGAGCGAGCGAGCGGGCCCGCCAGCCAGCCAGTCAGTCAGGCGGCGACGCGGGCCGCCCCGGCCGCCGGGTCCTCGCCCGGCCCGTCCTCCTCTCCCCCCCCCCCGCCTCTCCCTCCCCCTCCCTCCCGTGCGCCCGCCCCGTCCCCTCCTCTTCCTCCCCCCCCCCCGCCCGCGCCGCCCGTGCCGCGGGGAAGGGGGGCGGAGAAGCCCGCCGCGGCGTCGCCGCCGCCGCCTCCCGGCCTCCCGGCCTCCCGCCCGCCCCGCCGCTCCCCATGAAGCAGCTGCGGCCTCAGCCGCCTCCGAAAATGGGGGATTTCTACGACCCCGAGCACCCGACTCCGGAGTAAGTCCTCCCGCTCGGCCGGCGCGCGCGGGGCGGGCGGCGGGGGGGGGGGGGGCTCTATTTTTATTTGATGATTGATCAGGACGATGATGATGATGATAGATAGATGGGCCCGCTCGGGGGGGGGGGGTCTCCCCTTCCCCTCCCCCCGCTGGGGCCAAGGCGTCCGTCCGTCCGTCTGTCCGTCGGTCCTGACGGGTGGATGGCGAGGCGGGGGGGGGGGGGGGGGAGAAGCGGCGCGAGGGAGTAACGGGCCCCCGGACTTGAGCTCGGCCTGGGCGCGCGGCGGCGGGGTGGCGGGGTGGGGGGGGTTCGGTATAAGGGGAGGGTTCGGGGTGTCGGGGGGGGGCGGACGAAAGGAAAGCAGGCCGTCTCCTTTGCGGGGGTTTTTGTGTGTGTGTGGTCTTCCTCCATCCTCCTCCTCATCTCGGGATAGTTTGGGGAGGGGGGGTTCTCGTCTCTTCCCCCCCTCTCCCCCTCCTCCTCCTCCTCCTCCTCTCCCTGGCAGCGTTGGCGCCGAGAGTCGGCGTCGCAGCCATGGTTGTCGGGGCGGCCCGGTGGGGGAGGGGCGGCCAGGCCCGGCGGGGCTGCACGGGGGGGGGAGAGGGGGGGGCAGTGGGGAGGGAGACACCGACCCCCCCCACCCCACCTTCGATCTCAGCGGGGAGGGGTACCCGATGGGGATGAGGGGGGGGTGGCGGGGAGGGGAAGGTCTGACCTCTCCTCCCGCGCGCGAGCCTCTCTGTCTCTCCCCCCCCTCCGCGACCCAGGGCTGCCTGGTAACCCCCCCTCCACACACACACATACACACACACACTTACCCACCCTCTCCCTCCCCGGTGCTCGAGTCCCCGTTCCCCCCCCACCCACCCCCACCCTCGCCGGCCAAAGAGGGCGCCGACGAGCCTAGTAGGCCCGAGAATCCCCGGGCTCGAGTGGAAGTTCAGCCCGGGCGTCCGGCTCGGAACGTCGGCAAGGTCGTCACCGGAAGGGCCTAGCGCGCGTGTCCGCGCGCGCACGCGCGCACAAACACACACACATATACACACGCGCGCCGACACACTCGCGTGCCCGTCGTCGTCTGGCCGTAGGCCGCGATGAAGGCTTCACCCCCCCCCTCCACCTGCACCGTGCCTCTGTTTACCCTTTGGAGCTGGATTTATTTGAAAGAAAAAAAACCTTGGTCGTCTGATTTTCTTCCCCTTCTGGGAACTCTTTCATCTTGTCCCTCGTTAACGCTTCAGGGCTTCCCCCCACTTCTACACACACCTTTTTTGGGGGGGAGGTTGGTGGGTTTTTTTTTGTAATAATGGTGGTTGAGGTTGGTGGGGCTCCCCATTACCCCCGTTGTTGAGGTGACACTGGAGGTTTTGTTTTTTCACATCACGTTTTTCTTCACAGACCCTTGAGGTGTTTTGGGGTTGTTTTTTTTTTTTTGCACACTTTCCAGGCACTGTTTTCCTTGGTTAATTGTTTTGCACACTTTCCAGACACTGTTTTCCTTGGTTAATTGTTTTGCACACTTTCCAGGCACTGTTTTCCTTTTTTTTTTTTTGCACACTTTCCAGGCACTGTTTTCCTTGGTTAATTGGAAGCTCTTCACCTAAACGGATAGCTTTTTTTTTTTTTTTTTTTTGGTTTTTGATTTTTTTTTTGTTTTATTCCTTATGAAGACTCATTTTTGGAATTCCCTAAAGAAGACAAGTGTTCTCCAAAACCGAAATAAGAGTCCTTTGCCCCAGTAGGTTTTATTGTTGTTGCTGTGGATGTTGTTTTCAGTTTCAGACATTTTCACATCTGCTCTCCACATCTGATAGCTTGGGAAAATTCGACTCCAAGGAAGACCCACTTGTTGGTGTTTGGAAGTTTTAATCAAAGTTAATTGTTGATGGTGGGACAGTGCTGGCGGTAGAACTGTCAAACTTTGAGGACCCAAATGATCGAAGAGCTATTGCTCTTTTGACACATTTTATCCTCCCTACCCCCCCCCCCCCTTTTTTTTTTTTTTTGGTAACACTTTGCTAAATCTTTTCACCTCCTCTGGCTTTTCCTTGGTAACTATTAGGTTTGCATGTGAGGTAGAAAGATTTTCTGTTGGGCTGTTGCTCATCTCTGAACACCCAGAAATCATTAATGTTGCTTTTCTAAAACACAGTCCATCTCTTGGCATAGTAAGCGAACTCAACATGGCGGTTTCCTTTCATGTGCTCCTCACCATGGGTTAACATTATTTTGACTAAGCAGATTGACTGCAAAATCAAGTCTAGTAGCAAAGCTCATGTTACAGGGTTTTGGCTGGAGACTTGAAAAACCTCAAAAAAACTTGTGTTTCATGAGTCAGTAAATGCCAATTGAGCACTTAGCCAGTGCAAAGTAACCAGCCCTTGAATGGGAAAGTGCCTGTTCTCAGTTCCTCTTACCAGTTTGGTGAAGTCCTTTCACTTCTTTCTTAGGGGAAAAAACAAATTTTCATATGTGCAGGAAAGTGGACTCAAGTGCATCCTTTGGTGGGCTCGAGTGAGAAAGGAATAAAAAATGTTTTACACAGGTTTTGGAATCTTTATTTTTAATGCTTTTGTGGCTTCTAGTAGTTCTGGGTTTCTAGTAGTGCTAAGCAAGTTTTAATACATATCTTTCTTCCTTTTTATTAACTTGTATGGGACCTGTAAGGAATTATAAAATGTCTTCTTTCGTAATACTCCTAAGAACCAAAGGAAGGTTTGTGAGCACGCTCCTGGACAGTATCATCTGTTTACTTAAGGAAAATGAGAAGTAAAGTGATATACGTACTACGAGGAAGAAATATGTATAAGTATGCAGGGGAAAGGAAGCACAAAATATAGATAAATGGGGATTTTTAGAGTCAGGCAGCCTTTGGTTTAAAAACTAGTTTAACCTTGGACAAGTGATTTCATCTCTCTTGGGCATGGATTTTTTTCTTTTTCTTTTTGGAAATAGTTACATCCTAATTGGCAGCAGCAGCAGCTTACCAGTGCTGTTTGAAGGATTGAGGGAGATAATGCTTGAAAACACTTGGCATTGCTTAAAGCACTTGCAAGTGCTTTAAGTTGAGGGGGTCATCAGGGGAAATTAAGGAATAGGATTTAAGTCAACATAAAACCATGAGGTTGGGGCTGGGAAGTTGGCTCAGTGGTAGAGTGCTTGCGTGACATGCATGAGGTCCTGGGTTCGATTCCTCAGCACCACATAAGCAGAAAAGAAAAGCTGTAAGTGGCGCTGTGCCTCAAGTGGTAGGGCGCTAGCCTTGAGCTGAAGAGCTGAGGGACAGCGCCCAGGCCCAGAGTTCAGGCCCCACGACCGACAAAAATAAATACATAAATAAATAAGTAACCAGGAGGTTGCCTTAAGTGGGGAAGGGAGGGGCATGGGCATCCTGATGGGAAAGGGAGGGACCAAGCGTGCCTTTTAGGCTTAGGGTGGTTTGAAACCATTCTTAGACATATTAAAGTAGTTGAGGTGGAAAAAAAAAATCACTTTAGAGCTGCACTATTAGGGCCTAACATCCTGTGTTTGTCTCACATTCACTCTTCATCAGACACAGGTCTGATTCCTGGCTTGCAGCGTAGAGAAAATTGCCTTTCCGGTGAAGATGGTTGTAATCACTTAAGCATCTGCTCTTCAGGTGTCCATTGCAGACCAGAGACAGGTGTTGAGGGCACTGTAAATTGCATATAGTCAGGCCCTTCAAGACCCCCCTCCTGAGGGAAATGAGCAAGTAGTTGAACAGTGGTAAGAAATGGTGCTTTTTTTTTTTATTTTTTTAAACATTTGCATGTGTGTGCTAAACATGGGTACAGTAGGGTTGACCAGTATATAAAGCCACATTTTGCCCTTGCTGAGTGTACATCCTAATGAAGGGCGAGAAATAGTGCAAACAGTATTCCAAGGTAAGTGCCACGGAAGGAGAATGGCATAGCTTGTGGTAAGGGTAATGCAGAATTGTTGAGGAAGAGGCTGCATTATAAGGTGGGGTGGGGTGGTCATTCTCCTTGAGAGAGTACTATTTATTTAGGCAGACATAAGAGGAAGTGCACTGTGCTAACATCAAGGATGAGTATATCAAGCAGAGGGAATGGTCCCAAGGTGTGTGTGGGGAGGGGAAGGGCGGGGAGGCCCTCCTGGTGCAGACCAGTGAGTTCTTCCCAATATTGCTAGAATGGGATGCATAAGAAAGAACAGTAGTAAAGTGGGTCACAGTGGGAGTCGGGGTGCAGATTTCATAGAGCCTTGCAGAACCATTCGAAAGACTTGGCTGTTCTGTAAGTTTTAGCAAGGATATTTTATAGTAAAACAGGGTTAAAAGTAGGGAGAAATAGAAAAAAGAAACACTTCCTGCTCCTGTTTCAGAAATGGGAGTTAAAGACTTGTCTTTTTTGTTGTTGGTTGTAGGGCTTGAACTCAAGGCCAAGGCCCTGTCCCTGAGCTTTTGTGCTCAAGACTAGCGCACTACCACTTTATGCCACAGCTCTACTTCCAGCTTTCTGGTGGTTCATTGGAGTTGAGAGTCTCATCGACTTTCCCGCCCAGGCTGGCTTTGAACCGTGATCCTCAGATCTCAGCTTCCTAAGTCGATAGGATTACAAGCGTGAGCCACCAACTCCTGGCAAAGACTTTTTGAGACATGGTCTTTAATCTCAAGTGATCCTGCTTCAGTCCCCTGAATCACTGGGCCTACAGGTATATCTACTATTCTAGGTTGTTGAAAAAAGATTTTTTTTTTTTCTTTTGGTGCCAGTTCTGGAGCTTGAACTCAGGGCCTGTGAGCTGTCCATCCCTAGTATTCTACCACTTGAGCTGCAGCTCCACTTATTGCTTTTTTGGTGGTTAATTGGAGATGAGAGAGTCTCGTGGACTTTCCTGGCCAGGCTAGCTTTGACCCTTGATCCTCAGATATTACTCCTGAATAGCATTAAAGGTGGGAGCCACTAAAGTCCCTTTTATTGACACATACACTGTCTTTGGAAAAGTATTGAACAGCT